CTCGCATCCCTACAAGGCCGGGACGGAGCACGCCGGGTTCTCACCGGACCAGGCTCTCACATCACCAAGCGCGAAGCACCGTGAGGTATTTGGCGAGTCGCATGAAGGGTGAGCTGCATCCTGCTAAGGGTATTCGGCATCTTGTGCTTACTTCCTTGCGTACGGGTGACAGCTGGGGGGGGGGGGGGGGGGGTAAAAAAAAGAAAAAAATTGCTTAACCCCCACCCCAAAAAGGGGAAGCCCCATTGGAAAAAGGGTACTGGATTTCCCCCAAAGAACCCAAAAAAAGGGCGAAGGGTTTCCCCAGGGGGCGTTCCTGCCCACACACACACACACACACATGGTTTCATTGGAAACCACCAAAACATTGCTCGGGGTGGGCCATGGGCCCGGGCCAAAAAAATCCCAAAAACCCAAAAAGCACACAAACCAACCGCGGCGCCGGCAGCGGCAGTACACAAGGCCAGGAACGAGCAGGAACAGGATGTGAAGCTGTAACATTGACGCAATTCTTATCATCGCGTGGCACGAGCTTTCGAAGGACAAGATTCAGCCGGGATTGTTCACCGCCAACTCCCTCGGAAACACGCGAGCCACATCTTCCCACTCTTATGCCGCCAGATACCCGGCTTGCATAACTCTCCTATACGACCAGGAGGAGGAGGAAGAGGAGAAGCAAGAACTCAACCACCACGTTTCCTGCACCACAAAACGACAAAGGGCAAAAAAACAAAAAACGTTCTCGATTCTCGCTCTCTTGCTCTCGAGGACGCACCTGGATAGTATCCGACTCTTGCCCTGGAGGGTGTCCCCCCCACGGTGACAGCACGTTCCAGAACAAGTCGTGGTTCACGAACCCTCCCCCCGCCCGACGAGCAGCCGCCCGGTAGTCTGACAGCGCCATCCATCCACCCCCCCGAGAAAAAATAACCGCCACCCGTATTCCCCGGCAGCGGCAGCAGTAGCCAAAAATGGCGACCACCGAAAAAGCACCACGAAAAAAACATAACAAAAAATGCAGCGGTTCGGTGTTGTACGTTTGGCGTTGGTCAAATGCGGCAAACACAACAAACCATCGACGTACCACAGCCGTGAGAAAAAGCCAACACGGAAACAAGCAACTGAGCCAGGGAAATTACAGACTCTTTCTTGGTGTAAAGGGCGTGCCACCGAGTGCACGTCAAGTGCATCTTGTTCAGGCTGCAGGCGAACCATCCGGAAGCAGCGCGCTCCCTTTACACCGCACGCGTTTCATGCCAGTCGTTGTCCCTTGGGACCAGCTGATTGTGAAGAGTTAACGTAGACCTACCAATGTGCCACCGCTCTGTCTCCATGCGTTTCGTGCAGAAGACTCCCTCGTGTTCAGTCCCCGCTGCTGCATTTTGCTACCCTCCATCATTCACCCCCCCCGCTCCCCCGTGGCCGCAACCGCACGCAAGGAAGCAAGCACAAGATGCAGAATATCCTTCATAGAATGCAGCGCACCATTCATGCGACTCGCCGAACACCTCACGGTGCTTCGCACTTGGTGATATGAGAGCCTGGTCCGGTGAGAACCCGTGATCCGTACCCGATCCCGGCTTTGTATGGGTGCGAGGTCAACGGCCTACCGACTACGGGATGCGCGCTTGTGTGTTCACCCCTCCCACCCCGCCAAGTCTCCCTCTCTCTCACCCTCCGGCACGCTCCCCAGGTTGTGCAACAGCTCGTCTACTCCCATCTTTGCCAGGTGCTTCAGCTCCGGATCCCAACGCATTCTCTCCAGCACGGCGTTCAGCTGCGAGGTGTAGGCGGCGTGGTGTCCAAGGTGGTGGACCTGTACATAGAATGCAACAGCACAAACGACAAAAACGCGAAAAGAGGAGCGTCGTGAAGGAACGCCCTGGCATGATGGATGCGTGAAGGCAAGTACAGCTCAACAGGTCGGTGGGGTTCACCAAGGGCCGTGGAAATCATCCTCAGAAAAGACGGAAGGCTGCTATGCACACACTTCATTTTCCCAGGAGAACGGCCGGGAGCAACCCACACCCAGATGTTAACGGCCATGTACATGTACGCAGACAGCGGCACAAAATGCAGCCGAACTTTCAGTGCGTCACCAGGCCTCCACCAGAACCACTGACCACGGCAGGAAACAGCATACTTGGACTGCTGTACGGTAGAGACAGAGGCGGAGATTTTACCCGGGAGCTGGGAACGACACCAAACGTAGAACCGGCATACTACTCCTCAACACAACCACCGTAAAACTAGGCGGGCAGGTAGTAGAGTATGCGGGTACCGGTGTTTACCGTTCCCTGTGCCCGGACCTCGTCGGCGCTGAATCATTCGATACGATACTTTCTCCGGGGGGGCTGGCTCCCCGCCCGGGGGGACCCGCAAACAACATAAACGCATACAGTCGTAGGCCCTCTATAAGGCGGGAATGCGCCAGACCGATTCACCCGACCTATACAGGGCACCCGCCCTATTCAATGTGTAGATTAACTTAATTGTTCCGTCTGCGCCAGCCAACTTTACCCCGCCATATTTGGGCACCCGCCTTGTATAACCCGCCATATTTGGGCACCCGCCTTATATAGCCCGCCATATTGGGGCACTCGCCTTATATAACTCGCCATATGGAGGGCCTATGCACACGACTGCTGTATGAGAGAAATATATGTATACGTATCTAGTCACCGGGCTCACGCACGGTTTTGTTCCCATGGTAGAGGACAACTTGAGTGAGAGGTCAATGCCGAAAAAGACGCACAGCACGAATCAACCATGATTGAGGCTATAATTTTGTTATGTGTTCACGTCCGGTAGATGTAGACCACGGCAAAGGCATATTGAACAGCGTTGTTGTACTTCTTGCCGCAGTACATATCTTGTACGGAGTACTGCTATTGAAACCGTGCATCCGAGTACGTGACATGTGTGGCCCTTGTGCACGCACTACTTGTTGGAAATATTACATGCTCGTGGCATAGTACTGTAGCACGGATGGATACTGGCGCGAAAGTGCATGTACTACGAAATGCAGGTGGATAGGTTCAGTCGAGTGGCATATTCCAAAAAAAGAGTTTGGTTTCCTTGGGTAGACCTGTGGACATTGACGTCTGGAGTTTAGTTCTACAGGCAATCTTTCTGGTGCGTTGTCCATGCCAGATTCTCACCAGGACCCGCCTCTTCCGTTCCACAGCACAAGACTTCCACTAAACTACAATACCCACTCGGCCTGCCTTGGTCAAGCCGAGCTACCCTCTCTCCACACATGGTGTGCATAGACTACACCCGCAATAAACCAAAAAAAAGTACTTCCGTTGGCCAGCCGGGTCAGCGCGGTCCATGTTACCAGAAGAAACACACGCAAAACACAAACACGAACACCCGTAGTCTACAGCAGAAAGAAGAATGCTGGCCTTCTCTCACCCTCAACGCGTGTTCGCTGATGAAGGGCACCAAGGATCCGTACGAGTAGGGGAGGGGAGGCACAGGGAGGTTCTGGGCGCTCGCGCCAACCGCGGCCAGCGTAGACAGGGCGAGGCATCGTCCTACCAGCGTCGGCGTCGAGCTCTTTTTCCCCATGGCCATCTCTGTCGTCGAAAGCGCTGCTCTCAGGAGGGTGTGGTTGGCTAAAGCAGAAGTTGTAAGACAACGATGTAAGAGGAACGCGCGCTGGCTCTCTGCTGTCATGTCCGAAAGGGGAGAGATGAGGGAACAAAACGGGTTGAAGTTGGAGGGGTGTAAAGTCGCGCCGCCGGTTCACGAAATTATTTCTGCTCCTGGGCTAGCTCTTAAGGCCTGTGATCCTGTAGGAGGGCACGCCAGAAATACGAAACAGACGTGCAACCCCTCCTACCCAATGTCTGCAAGTTCAACACCACAACTGCAGCCCCAAAAGCAGTTTGCACATGTCCATATGTATGCATACACAGCAGATGCGCACATGGTTTGAAGCACATCAAGAGGGAGCAGTGTAGCCGAGGGCAGCGGAACGAGCGCGGTGCACGCTGGACCAAACTGCAACTCACGAAGACGTGCGTGTTCCTCATAATCAACATCGCCACGTGACTCACTTGATCCGGGGAACGACGCGTGCAAATAGCACAATCCAAGGGGGATGTGGTGGGATCGCGCTCTAGGCGGGTTGTTCCTTGGGGGGCTCGCGCCGATATTTGTTTTGAACGCCCCCCCCCGTATCGATGCGATTTCCTCAATATTATCATTCAACGAAGCCCCTTTCGAACACTCCACACTCACTCTCCTGTCTCAATTCACACACTTCTTGGAGCCAGACTCCTGCAACTCATCCCCGGCATTGCCTCCAACAGTCAGTGGAGGCATGGGCCAGCCTCTTCCTTCATTCAATATGATGCAGGCTCGATGTAGGTGACCTGGCTGACGTCATTCTTTCTTTTCTGTTTCGAACAGAGAGCGCGCGCTTGATGGGGGTTGGGTTATCAAACCTCTTAGTATGAGGACTCTACCGAAGTGCGCCAAACTAAGCGGTCTCGGGTCACGCACACGTCAAGATGTACTTTTCGAGATTCAGGCGCCATTTCCTTCTTTTGGAGTCTGCTCTCGGTAAGTTGTGTTTGCTAATATACGTACAGAATGGATTCCTACATAAATATTTGCCCATAAATGAAATGCTATAATGAATGATGTTAATGGTTCGGATCCTGATGTCCGTTCAACCAACTCTGGCGTGCGCAACATCGGGAGAAACCAGGTTTGTCCAACAGCATGAATCTCCCCCCTCAATTTTGGTTCACTGATGATGCATGATGATGAGGGACATCACTCAGCGAATGAATGTATAGTCAACGAGTGAGTGAGTTTCGGTCTCCCGAGGGGCACACGCCACACACTGGACAACAGTCAAGCAATGTTCATGTTCTCTTGTTGCAACAACAGAACACGGGGACAACCGAAGACAAATCAACTTTTTTCGCATCTGCTTGAATGAATAAGAAGGTGCAGCCAACAACGTTTTCACCTGTTCTGCGTGTTTCTGTAGCAATGTAAGACACACGCGTCTTCGCCATGGACGCTAAGCCGTGAAGTGGCCGCTGGTCGAAGAACCATTCATCTGTTTCCCGAAAGAGCTTCCAGGCATACGTCATCATCTACAGGCGACATCACCGGAGGACCACCAATTCAAGACGGGACGCAAGGGGGTGCGATGGAGTAGTCCTTGCAGTGACGGCGTTCGCGTAGTAGCTGGCCAAGCCAACGGTTCGTGTCGTCCTGCCCAGCGCATAGAAAGACCGTCAGACATATCTTCGAGGGCAGTTTCGTTTGAATCGAAAGGCACCAACCACAGCCACAAACGGGTCTACTTTGTCTACGGTCTTAATAGAAAGGTCGCCGCTTCCCGCCATTCATTCCCTGCAACCGCTGCTCTGCCAGATAGTCACTCTCTTGGGTGCCCTTGCTTCTCGCAACAAGTCGTACAGGCATGGACGCGGAAATCTCCTTACAAAAACAACAAACAACATCTTGCCAATGGACATCATGAAATGTCCTGAGACAGCACAATACTAGGGGTCTGGCCCCTTCGGACACACAACATTCCAGTACCAGTGCTAGCTGGCATCACTGACAATATGTCAGTGCAAGACCTAAGTAGACAAAAAAATAACCCTACGGCAGTATCCAGACGGTTGTCTTCCCGTTCACTGCAAAAGACTTCGACACACATGTTGTGGTACTGTCTCGAAAGGGAGCCATCTTTCTCTTTTGACACTCACTCATGGGCCGCGAAGACGACCATCTACCAGTGAAATCGACGGAGGTACAGTACAGCAGTATATAGCACGAGCCGGGTACATAGCGTAGCGCTGATAGCGACGAAGAAAATCGTATATGCGACCGCGATTCAAGAGAGTCCGAGGTATACTTGTGCCTGCTGTAGGACGTCGGCGAGAAACGCGGAAGTAGCCACAAACACTTTTATTTCGCGCCGGTGGCCCAAACAACTTTGGAGTCGGTTGTTGCTGCCTTTCATTTACACTTAAAACCGTTCTCCTCTCGGTTAGACCAGCGGTCCTGGTCCAACTGGCGCGGATGCCTTCCGTGGTCGCAAATCAACTACTACCGCCGAAAAAGGAAACGCGCCTTTCTTCGAATAAACAAAGGAAAATAGAAAACCAAGCAGACACCAACAGTGGGCAAGGGGCAAACGCCAACCGCGCCCCGTCCAACAACCCCATCGCAGACGCAACTGAACGTGACCCCAAAGGCCCCACATCAACCAGCTCGGCGCTACATTCGACAGCAGTAGCAGCGGTACCTTCACCGAGACGCGTACAAATGTCTACAGACCAATCTCAACGGAACTGCCGCTACGTTTTCAAAACCATCGCCTCTGAGCGCGGCGCTTCCCAACCGTCGTTGGCGGTACTTCGATATGTACAACTTGCGCTGCTGCAAGCAGCTGCCGGTCGGGTGTCAGCTAGACGGGTACAGCTGTAGGGCAAGCACGACGCCAGCTACATCGCCGTCCGCGCTCGTTTGTTCGACGTTGCACCACCGGTGCGGTCGTCGTCATCGTCTTCGCTGTCGCTCCACGCCCCGTCGTCCGAACTCGCGCCGTCACCATCGCTTTCGGCCCTTCCACCATTTTCTACACAGCTATCCCTTCGGGTGTTGCTGCTGCTGTCGTTGTCGTCATCTATTTGTTGTGATTCACCCCGACGAACGCGCGGCAGCAGCAGCCCAAATAGCAAGAACACGAACAAAAAGAGCCAAGAGATTAGCTTGTGCAGTGTGCGTCAGTTAGCGGGGAAGAACACGGGGCAACAGAACTCAAAGAGCGAAATAGTAAGCACTACGCTTCCTTGTACAAATGAATGACTGAGTATTTACCGTGCAACACATCGGGAGCGCGGGACTCAACCGTCAATCATCGAAAAGCTGCGCCCCCTACTATGCTGACGACTGACGTCGCTACAACTGTTCAACGGTCGTTATCAGCGCATTGGTCCTGTCTTGCAATAGGGTTGAGGACGTGTTTAGTTCGCGTTATATGGTTCATGTCTGAGTGTACTTTCACGACGTTTTCCTGGTAGCATTTTTCGGAAATGTTTCGTCTACTTTTTGATGGGCGGAGAAAGACCAGATTTTCGGTATACTAATTCTTCTTGAGCAGGCCCCTTTGTTCTTTTGAGCCAAGAGTTTATTTCACGGTTTTATGGCAACTGCGAGAGGTCGCCTTATAGCACAGTACAGGTGGCATCGTAGTACCTTGTGGTATATTGTATCACGGTGTATGGCCTTATTCACAAACACTACAATATTGCCCGCCAACCTTGCACGTTCCCAGCATTTCGAATGGTAGGTGTCTACAATCTTGTGCAGGGAGACGCGTATCAATCTTACTACCAAAAAATCTTGTGCAGGGAGACGCGTATCAATCTTACTACCAAAATTTGTTCAATAGCAGTCACTCGTGCATAGGTCTACGAGGACCAGGGGCTGCGCATTTCGGACGCGTTTCATGCCTTGCATTTGGATACACAACGGAAGTTCAAACCTTCGGGTCTAATCTTGTCGCTCTCAGTCGCGTGAGGACGTTGTTATGACCTTCCAAGCCTCCCACCGTCCCATGATGGGCACAGACAACAAGCCAACGCCCGCGTTTAATGAACGTCAATTTCGGGGTCGAAGCTCACTTTAATGCGTCGTCACCCCCGTCGAGCATAGGCCATTATAATATAGATTTTAGTGTAGGATCCACGGCTGATTTATCGCCAATATCTGAGCCTTCGTGGCCTAAACGCTTATTTCTTAATCGCGGGCGCAAGCTGTATTAGCTGCCAACCTCTGCATCTCCACCCCTACCCTCTACAGTACACACGTGAACCAGTGCGTGCAGCACACCTGGGGGCTTCTGCGCAGCCGCCGCAGGACCTTTTCCTTTCCCCGCGTGGGAGTCATCACTCCCGTCGCCTTCAGCAGCGGAAGACGCCGCGGCGGTCCCATTCCCATCCCCCCCCGTGGGAGACGGCGGTGACCGCACGCCACCATCAGAAACCTTGCCGACCTCGTCGTTTCCCGCCGCCGCTGCCGCTGTTTTTACCGAGGTTTCTCTACTTCGGCTATTCTTATCTGGGGACAAACTTCCCAACTTCTCGCCAACCGCAGAGGGACGACCAGAATCCCTACTTGTGGTGGCGATCGAAGGAACCGATGTCTTCCCGGCCTGTGCGAGGGCGCGGGGAAACAGGCAGGCGGGACGTGGGGGGACGGGGTCGCAAGCGAAGAAAAACACAAAAGCTATAAAGCTATACATACGGCCGTGGGGGAGAAGATAGACCTACTCTGGCTGGTCTCGAGAGATACATCGGGGACCTGGGCACCCGAACGCTGACCGGCCTCTCAAAAGCTAGACTCTTTTTCCGTGGATAGCGACGGATTCGCGGTGTTACACTAAGAATCATAAAAACAGAGGACACAAAACAATCATAGCTGTTGAAATGGCACCCCTCGCAACAACGACGGTTTCACAACCCGTGTTTGCGCGGGGGCACACAACTTAACCACCTGCTGTCTTCTGGCTGGCAAACAACGATAAAATGCACCTTTCCCTCCTCGCCGCCTCTCGGGGCGGCGGCCGTGTCCTCGGCTGCTTGTCTCTCCGTCGGTGCTGCTGCCTTGCCGGTCGCTGGGCTGGGCTTGTCCTGTCGAGCGTGCTCCTCCACGTGGGCTCGCGCAACGTCCGCGAACCTCGACGGGTTCTTCAAGAAGAGCTCCGTCTGGTTTTAGTTATTTAGTGCCGCGCGCGCGCATCGCTCCAGGGGTGTCAGGAGGAGGGGGAGTCGAACAGCAGGAGCGCCCCGGGGGTGCTACAATGTTGTGCGCCGTTCGCGATACCCGTACCATAGTGCGCATTCGCCGCTTGACACAGAGCAGCATTGCAACCTCTCACCCCCCCCCCCTCTCCCTTTTGAATTTGATGGAATGTCGTAGTGGAGACACACCCAGTCACTCAAATGTCATCTGAACCATAGAAGGGGAATTATTTACGTGTCTTCTCGTTCCGGAGATGGAGGGGTCAAGGGCGGGAGGGAGGCGGGCGGGTTGTATGCATACGGCTTTAACCTTGCGTGCTGGTGCACCAACAAACTCCGACAGGTACCGACCGACAGCGTTGCATCATACTAGATCATGCAACCCCCGGGCGGGGGGGGGCACTCTCTGCGTTCTACCAGATGGGTGTGTGCATGCCGGAGCGAGACCTTTTAACTTGACAAAAAATTCCGCGTTTTGGCAGAAGCTTTGGACTAATCCCCTAGCACGCACCCGTTGCGCCTTTAGAAGGACCCACGATCCATCAAGCGGATCAGCAACAAGCATGCAAGCTGGACGAACGTCACAGCGGCTCCCTTCGGACAATCAAATCGCCTGTAGCGATCGGGGCTCGCCGACGTGTCACGAAAAAAAAAAAAAAACGTCCTGGACGCCGACGCACGTTTTGCATGTACCCAACGGCTCAGACGCACTCCGAAAAATCCCAGGCAAGCGGCTTTCCCATCTCACCAAAAGACTTAGGGAGGCCCTAGAGTTTATGTCCCGACTCCAAGCAAAACGTAACCACGACAGCAGTCGCGCAACGGCAAACCAATTGCAAACCCAATTTTTCTCACAATGTCTGGCATCAAGCCGTCGTCGCCGTTAGGGTGGGCCATGAGAAGGCGAATGGTTGTCAGCAGGGTGGGCACGTTCATTGAAGGGGCCCAAGAGCCCTGTGGGAAGGCAGCGAAAGTCAATAGTAAAACAAACGCAAAATGTAAACATCATGGCAACAGATGTGATGCACGTCCAAAAGCGGTAAGACACCGGGCGATGGTGCCACCAACATGGACGTACGGCGCAGTCTTGGAAGGTTCTTATGGGATCAACGAAGACTAATAACACGTGAATCATCCTAAGCGTGACGTCGTTCTTGTTGTCTAGACAAACCCCCGTACCAAACCACAATCCCCGTCAAGGCGGGCAAATGGACGTGCCGTAGATCGCTTCGCTCTGTGTCGCTTCTGAAACGCAACCCCTTGGGACCATGCTGCCCAGTACGAACGCTTTCACTTCCACGGTTCCCGGGGATGCCGCATCGCTTTGACAACAGGACGGGGGGCGTAAACTACTCGAGCGTTCCTTTCGCCGTACCAAGGTGATCGTTGACTGCACATCAATTCCCAGATTGGGCAACGCTCTGATTTCGAGTAGAGTGGTACATCTCCTACATTTTGCTGGGCGATGCTCTGTGCGTTTTGAGTGTCTTAGCGCTTCGTCAGACCAAAGTATGAATCCTCCTTCCTCTCACAGCCAGGTGTTGCGCGTCAGGCAAACACCAGCAAACAAAGGCGAGAGGTGGCGTATTTGGTGGCCCGCGACCACAGAACTCCCGTACTTCGCAGGTGCCGGCAACACCTATCGAGCAGAGTTTTTCGTCTAAAAAAACATGTTGGATAAAAGTATGGGGGAAGCTGGGACCTACGGCTAGGTTCTGCGTACCCCCTCCCTGTTCTATTTCCTCATTAATGAAATTTCTCAGGAAGGTGGCCCCGGCAAATCTCCAGTTTTCTCACCGCTGGTCGCATCTTGAGGGTGTCGAGGCAGATGCGGCCTCCGCTGTCGATGTTGGGGTGGTAGATGGGCGTCACGAAGCGTACCTTGGGGGGTTCGAAGGGATACCTGGCATCATCGTGCGCGGTTCGTTGTGGGTGTTATATT